AACCAAGAGGTTGTCTCTTTTTGAAGCTGTTGGAATCACTTTAGTTCCAATATTACCAAATCTTTGAAGATCTTCTGTTTTGGTAAAGGAGCGTGATCTTAAGCTCTAGTTTTCAGCTCCTCTTTTAATATCACTCATTAGATTCACATAGCATTCCCTTGGCCCTTGATGGAAGGTATTTTCGAAGAGTTACCTATGATATTCAAGCGCAGAAGATTTGAGTTTCGTTTGAGCTTGTCCTAGAGACATTTTTGTTTGTTGCATTTGTACTCAAGCTTTGTTGGTATTGGTTTATGGGAGGCTTGGTCTTTGGTGTTCATTGTTTCCGTTGGCTCGAAGAGGCTTTGGCCAAGTTTTATTTTTCAACTTCCAGAGATTCTGGTTCGATGCTTATGGTCGTGTTCTCTTCAGCTTCTCATTTTGCCGATGGGCTCTGGTTTTCGGTTATTTTTAGCAGGCATTCTATCTCTGTTACTTGGTTACTTTTGCTTTTCTCTTCGCTTCCTTTTGGAAGTTTGTATCCTTGAACATTTTTCTTCCTTTTCATATTTTCAATGAAAAGTTTGTTTCTCTTTCAGAAAAAAAATGAGTTTTTGGATTTCAGCTGGGAGGCTTGGTCTTTGGTGTTCATTGTTTCCGTTGGCTCGAAGAGGCTTTTACCAAGTTTTATTTTTCAACTTTCAGAGATTCTTGTTCGATGCTTATGGTCGTGTTCTCCTCAGCTTCTCATTTTGCCGATGGGCTTTGGTTTTCGGTTATTTTTAGCGGGCATTCTTCGTTTTTGTATTCTATGGATCTCTGTTACTTGGTTGCTTTTGCTTTTCTCTTCGCTTCTTTTTTGGAAGTTTGTATCCTTAAACATTTTTCTTCCTTTTCATATTTTTAATGAAAAGTTTATTTCTTGTTAAAAAAAAAAAAGAAAGATAGAGTTTTTGGATTTCAGCGGGGATCTGGAAGTTAGTCATAGCACTCATTCTGATTTGGATTGTAACAAAGATCGAAGTAATTTTGGGTTGTTTCTTCCTTCTCAAAGATAATCTTCCATTCTTAAAGGAGCGTCATATAAATTTTTAGATATTATTGAAGATTTTTCTCTCTTTTTCAGTTCGATAGGGATGAATGTTTGTGAAGTGGTTAAATTTTGTACCTTGTGTTTTATGGAGAGTTAGTTTTTTCCACTTTCAATGTTCAGAGCCAGGTTTGGAAGCCCATTACTCATATCTTTGATGGTTCATGGATTCACTTTTGAGGGTCTGCGATAATATTTATGATCTTCTTAGCAGCCTTGGTTTTGAACTGAGAAGTACGGTCATGGACATGGACATGACAAGACACGGCGATACGTTAATTCCTAAAATAAGACACGGACACGTCCGGGATTCGTTATTTTTTTTATATTTTTTTAGAATATATGTAATTTATATTTTTTTACTGTGGTTGTGGCGCATTGTTTTCGTAGGTGGGGGAGGGCTTTTTCGTGAAGTGAATGCGTCGGTGGATTGAAATTAGATCTCGGGTTTTTTTTTAACTTTTAGTTTTTAAAATTGTTAATGGACTTTGGGTTTCTTAATTTGGGCTAGGAATGGGCTTGAAAACAAAATAAAACTCATGTTCACGTGTCCCTCCCGTGTCCATAGAGTGCCCAAGCGTGTTCGAAATTTAAAAAATTAAAAATCAGATACGTAAAATAGCGTGTCGGACACGTGTCCAGATGTAGTCATGTCCGACATGTGTCTGACACAGATACTTCACCCAAAAAGGCGTGTTCGTGTTTCATTGGTTTTGAAAGATTTGCAAATCTTTTCGGAGCTTTGTATTTTATTTTTTCTTTATCTTTCACTCCTTTTAGGAATTTGTTTCCCGAACGCTTCTTGTTTCTTTTCATTATATCAATGAGAAGTTCACATCCTGAAGTTCACATCCTAAAAAAAAATTGTTTAATTATGTTTCTTTTAAAGGTATGGGAAATATGATCCTCACTACCTATAAGGAATCACTCTCATTCCTCTTGATCGTAGTTATCACCCCTGAAGTAGGTCTTTGAATTCCTAAATTAGTGGGAATGGCAACCCATGATAGTTAGGCAAGAACTGAGTTGGTTGCTCTGGAGGAAGTAGCGATAACTACCTCACTCGTTTCACTTTAGCACCTCCCGCTTTTCTACCTGGGATTCCCAGCTGCACGAGCAACAGAACCTCCACCAGCTTAGGCAGGTCCATCTACTTCTGTACAATTTGTCACAAAGGAAGAGTTTTTTGAAAAACTCCCTTTAAAAAGCCCAAAGAATGAGAAGTTCACTAAGGAAGGGTTTCCTGCATAGTCATTTCTGTTCCCCATGATATTTTACAACAATGAAGTTATCTTGAATGTGGTATTGACTAGAGTCCAGGATATACCAATAGTGAAAACCGTTTCCAATAAACACAATCATCTAAAAATTGCTTTTACCTCTTTGTTCAAACCTTTGACTACTTGCACCAGAAAATCTTTTAGTTGGAGAAATAAGCTCTTTTTGGAGAACCTTCTGGCTGCTGGCCTGACTTGCAGCAAAAGTTGGAGTACGGTACTACTTTAATGTAAGAATTTCCTTCAAAATTCTGTTTTATTTTTGGGAAATCTTCATTTGCAGCTTCCGTTAAAGAACTTGTTTATGAGACTGATAAAGTCCTTACATCTTGAAGGAATGATGAGTTTGGATTTGTTTCCATTGTTCAGTATCCTTCTAACTTTTGCGAAACAACTTCTTTTGTTGGTGATTTTTTGTGTCAAGATGAGTCATGGTGATTTTTTGTGTCAAGATGAGTCATTCTTTTTTTTTAATCAAGATATGAAATATTGATTGTCGAATAAATAAGCTAAAGTCTTAAAAACATATGAACTCCTATAGGAGTGGGATAAAGTACTAAGGAAAAACAAAAGCAAGATAAGAAAAAGGAGTAAACTGATAATCTAAGAGGAAAAAATAAAAGCATCCCAAGACCAACAAATAAGACTAGGAGTAGTTCTCAGATAAATTAGAAAGTGAAAACTTTGCTAATTCAAAACACTCCAACCAATCCATGCTTGTGTCATGAAAAATTCCTTTGTTCTTTTCAAACCAAAGCTCTCTATTGGCTTTGGGAAGCTTCCTTTGGAGGCTGCTGCAGTATTCAAATTCCCGCACAAGAAAATCCAAACAAAAACACTGACCTTCCTTGGACTTACCGAATTTCATATAGGAGAAAGAGTCTCCTCTGGTAAAATGTTTCCGTCTTCCTTGAGCAAGATAAAGGCTTAACTGAGAACTTACCAGAGACTTCTAAATTCCAGCTAGGAAAGAAGTGAGATGTAGTCCTTAGCCTCTAAATCTTTAAGGCTCCATCAGGTTTCAATTTTTCAACAGGACGTGAACCTGTCCCAATTATCAAATCCAAACAAAAAGGATATTTGATTACCTATAAAGATGAGAAAACCAACCTGGAACGAAGAATCCCAAGCCAAATGTCCTGCCAAAAGTGTGTGCGCCTACAATTGCCAACCTTAAAAGAAGAACAGTGCTGGACACTACTCCAGTGCTTGAAAATACTGGTCCGGGGGCAGCTTCAACCACTGTTTCTCCTTTCCAATGAATGCCAATTGAACATATCGGTGCCATAAATGCTGGCCACTACTGAGCCCCATAAAGAAGAAGGTTATTGAGTAAATCGCCAACCCCATTTAGCTAAAAGTGTTCGATTTGTCTGTTTGAGATCACAAACTCCAACGACCTTTCTTCAAATGAAGGGAACTAATAATCCAACGAAGTACGTGCTTAGTTTTGCCTCCAGAATGGCCTTCCCAAAATAAATTCCTCTTATTCTTCTCAATTTCCTTGAACCGTGACATTTGAAATAATGACATGTAATAAGTTGGAATATTAGCTAAAACCACACATTACATAGAGTTAATATTCTACCTTATGAGAGTTGAAATCGCCTCCATCTGTCCAATGTCCTCAAAATTTTCTCTTGAATGGTATCTTTAAACAATCTGGTTTCTTTTCATATATCAATGAAAAGTTCGTATCTTGTTTCAAAAAAAAAATATCTCTTGAATGGGCTGCCGAAAACCAAGAGTTCTAGGATTTCTACCGAGAGGCATACCTAAGTAAGACACTGGTAGAGAATCCACCTTAAAATGAAGTCTGGATGCAATTTTAGATATTTTGGAATGATCTATGTTAATCCCACATACCGAAAATTTGTCTCAATTGAACTTCAACCCAGATAACTGTTCAAAGGCTTCCATAGTCTTATTAAAGAATTCAACATAGAATCATCATCTTAGTTGGTTCATTAGAACCATATAAACCGATACCCAGAACTCCCATTAACAAAAAAATGGAACCTCCTGCAGTGTACAAAATAAACTTTGTAGCTGAATACAACCGTTTCTTTCCTCCCCACATCGATAGAAGTAGATAAACGGGAATTAATTCTAACTCCCACATGATAAAAGAAGTCTGTTGTCTGCAAATTGAAGATGTGACAGAAGATGTGACATGTGAACTGTATTTCTACCCACAGTGAAGCGTTCAAACAAGCTTTTTGAATTGATATTCTCCAAGAGACTACTCAAAACATCGCCAACTAAAAGGAAAAGGAAGGGTGAAAGGGGATCGCTGTGTCTTAAGCCTCTTGAAGCCATTACTTGGCTTTCCATTTGTAAAAACAGCTCCTAATCCACTTCAACCATCTTGAGGGTGAAGGGTGAGTGTTCAGAAAGGGAGGAAATGGTGGGTAAGGAAGAGCACGAGAGTGAACATGAGAGAGAGTGCCATTAACATGATGACGACAAGATTAAATATTAGTTCTTCCTTTGATGAACTAAGCTAAATCCATGAAGTAGCTAAGCTGTTGTAAAATGTTTTATAGTTTGATTGAGATAGTATTGGATCTATTTGTGATTCTTATTCTTAGTTATTATGTTCAATCCTTTCAAAATTTAAAACTTAATGCTGAATGTTTCTGTTTCTGACTTAGAACATGGAAACTGGGAGTCGCAAATTGATGCTTGGCAAAGACCTGTGCTTGAAGACGAGAGGTTTCCTCAATGGTAGGCTTAGATATATCATTTATTATTAATGCTTTATTCCTTCAGATTTTACAAGTGTCCTGGTTTCTGCAGGTATCCCGTTACTCTCTTTAATGAGCTTTATTATCTAAATGCAGGGGGGACAATTTGGACAGGTATATTTAAAGTTCGTAAACTACTATTTTCTAATTGTCCCTTGCTATTTTGATTAAATCTGGATAATTTTCTTGACAATATATCTATAGATGGGTCACTTCCAATTCAGAGTTTAGTAAGCTTTGGAGAAAGAGGATTTTGCCTTGATCAATCCAGATTTGGTGTTCAGAGCATAAATGATAAATCCCATGAAAATGATACTGCTAACCATATTCTTGGGAGGATGACTTCAACACTTGATGGATTACGCACTTCAGTTGCATCAAATTCTGCATTTGGAGTGAATCTTCTTCAAAAGGGAGAGGAGAATGTTGGCCAATTCCTCTATCTTGAAGGGATTGAATACACCATGTGGAATACTTATGACGTTCATTTTTATTCCTCTTTTGCGATAATAATGCTATTTCCAAAACTTGAACTCAGCATTCAACGAGATTTTGCAGCGGCAGTAATGATGCATGATCCCAGCAAGATGCAACTTCTTGATAGTGGGAAATGGGAAGCAAGAAATGTTCTTGGAGCCGTTCCTCATGATATCGGAGTTAATGACCCGTGGTTTGAAGTGAATGGATATAACCTTTATAATACGGACAGGTGGAAGGACTTGAATCCGAAATTTGTCCTCCAAATTTACAGGGATGTTGTAGCCACAGGGGATATGAAATTTGCAAAGGCTGTTTGGCCCTCTGTTTATCTTGCCATAGCTTATATGGACCAATTTGATAGGGATGGTGATGGGATGATTGAAAATGATGGCTTCCCTGATCAGACTTATGATACATGGTCCGTGACGGGTGTTAGTGCATACAGTGGCGGTCTATGGGTGGCAGCCTTACAGGCTGCCTCGGCCATGGCTCGTCTAGTTGAAGAAAAGGATGCTGCACACTATTTTTGGTTCAAATTTCAGAAGGCAAAACGTGCCTACCAGAAATTGTGGAATGGTTCTTACTTCAACTACGACAGCAGTGGTGGGAGTTCAAGTTCATCTATTCAAGCTGATCAATTGGCTGGACAGTGGTATGTATATGCTATCTTAAAGTACACTAAATAAAAATATTTTTAGCATTAAATGGTGTAAACATTTCCACAAGAACATGAACAGAACTAAGTATTACAAAATAAACTTGTTGAGCTCTAGAATACTGAACTACCATGTGACTTTCTATTTATGCTAAACTCATTACCTTTCATTCTTCTTCCATTCTTTCTTCACACTAAAAAATTGGGTCATATTCATATGATACAAGAGAGATAACCATCATTTTTCCTAAAATAAAATTGTGAATGTCCTTAACATTTTAACTTAGTAAAAACTAGATAAAATATGTGAGTATTCAATTGTTTTTGGATATCAGCTTACTTAATATCAATTTGCACTTAAAGAGTATGTATCTAAACACATTTTTGTAACTTTTTACTCATTAATGAAAAGTAATTACAAAAATACTAATGTGCAAGGTATGCAAGAGCTTGTGGTCTTGTTCCCATTGTTGATGAAGACAAGGCGAGGAGTGCACTGGAGAAGGTATACAATTACAATGTCTTAAAGGTGAAGGATGGGAAGCGGGGTGCAGTAAATGGGATGCTTCCAGATGGAACAGTGGACCTCTCATCGATGCAGTCGAGAGAAGTATGGTCAGGAGTAACATATGCTGTTGCTGCTTCAATGATCCACGAAAATATGATTGACTCGGCATTTTCGACTGCGGCAGGAATTCATGAAGCCGCATGGTCTGAAGATGGCCTTGGGTAACTCAGTCATATTTACTTTTCCTTTTGTTCATCCATTTATTTTATGAAATAACTGGTTCTGTTATTTAGTTTGTTTTCATGATAGTCTAGACAAGTGCCGATGCAAGAGGCTTGATGGTCTGCAATGGATAATAGTTTTAAAACATCAGTCTTAACACCAATTTTGAAGTTTCTTTTTCTAGAAACCATATTAGATAGGACAACAGTAATGGTGGCAAATAGTTTTGCCATATTTGAAAATATAACAAATAAGATTTTGCAAATACGAAAATTTGGTAGGGCAAGTGTTTATCATTAATGGACTTCTGATCACAACCAACATAAATCAGTGATAGGATTCTATCACTTGTCTATTAGTGATATACATCTATCACTAGGCTGATACACGAAAATTATCCTATATTTTGCCTATCTTTTTGGCCGAATTGTTCTGTGTCTTTTTCTCTTTAGCACCTCACCTTGAGGTTTAAGTAAACAGGTTTGTTTGACTTATAAAGTGAGCGACTTACATGATATATTAGGAGCGGATGCTCCTATGGCTTTCAACTGTCATATTTATAGACTGTATGTTGTTGGTTGTGGTCAGATACAACTTTCAAACACCGGAGGCTTGGACAACGACAGATCAGTACAGATCATTGTGTTACATGCGGCCTCTCGCAATCTGGGCGATGCAATGGGCACTTTCCAAAAAAGTACCCATCAAGGAAGGGTTGAAAGAAGTTGATAATGATGCCATATTAAGACACCACGCTAAGTTTTCGAAAGTTGCCCGCCTTCTAAAGTTGCCTGAAGATAACATATCTTCAAGTGTTCTACAAACTGTCTATGATTACACTCTCAAAAGGTTTTTCTAAGACTCTTACAGTCCTCTCCATCTATTGATTTGATAATATTGACAAATAAGCTATATTGTTACTATTTGAACCTTCTTCATTGTGCTGTGAGTTTAAGAGGAAATGAATCTAAACCTCTCTAAAAGAGGTTTTATTTTCCCATCTTGAACTTTTGGTTATAGAATAAGGGGTTCATATGTTCAGTTTCAAGCTTGCTTGTCTTCTTTTTGGACGTGTAATGTAGTAAGAAGACAGCAAAGTTCTGGATGCGTGAATATGCATGCTTTTTGCTGAAATGCTGTTGTGGAACATTCTTTTCTTTTTGGTTCAATAATTTTATATAGTTCAATGATTTCTCTTATTTTTATTTTTAAAATAATATTTTATTTAGAATCAAGGTATGTTTGGTGTGGCTTCAATTTTTTGGATTCCAATCAAAGGTGCAACTGCAGTAATGATCAAAATTAATAACATGTTTTAAAAAATGGTCAAATCTATGAGATATTGTAATAATGGCGAAACAACTTTTTTTTAAATACTGAGAAAATTTTAGACAAATATACTCTGGTAACCAATTAGGTATATATGAATAATTTTAGGGATTTATAATTTTTAACGAATAGCAACAGAAATAATGGGCATTAATATTAGGGAATGAACTGTATTTAATAAAAAGTAAATGGAATCAAAATAATTATTTTAAATCTAATTTAAAATCGCTAATTAGAATTTGAAAGTAGATTTAAGAAAAAAATTGATAAGAGTGTGTTAGGATAGATTTTGAAATTTATCCATCTAAAATAGAAAATTTCGATAGTGTTATTAATGTTAGGGAATCAATTGCATATAATAAAAAATAAATGAAATCAAAATATTTATTTTAAATCTAAATTTAAATCGCTAATTATAATTTAAAAGTAGATTTAAGAAAAAATTGATAAGAATGTATTGAGGTAAATTTTCAAATTTACCCGTATAAAATAGAAAATTTCCTTTCTTTTTGAAAAAAAAAAACCAATTTTTTTTTGAAAAGGAAATATTTAAATCCAAGACTATTCAATTACTAAGACTATTCCAATTTTTTTTCGTAAATTTTCAGATTGATGGGATAGGGTATTAATACATCTAACACATAATTTAAATGTGGGAATTTATCCTCTAAAAAAGGAAATATTTAAATCGCTGATTAAAATTTGAAAGAAAAACATTAGGGTTTAGGTCCACCAACCTCAACTGCCCAACCCTTCGCCTCGAACCTTTCATCTTCAACTTAGAACCATCCTTCACCTTCATCTCATTTCGCTGCTATAGTCTCATTGCAGCCACCGTCGCACGAAGCCTGACTTCGTCGCACGGTGCTGCCATCCGTTGAATGTCGACATGAATCGTCTCGCCGCACATCGCCTAGCCCGTTGTTCTATTGCGTGCAGTTCTGACCAAGATTGCCCATTCCGTACAAAAATCCACCCATTCTGCCGTCGTTTAGATCTGGTTCGGCCGCCTCGTCGTTCCGTCCCACCGCCGTACCATCCGTACCAACCTAGATCTGTCCCGCTGTTCGCCTAAACCAGATCTGGCCGTCCCACTGCCTCGTCGGACCGTGATGCCGTCACCCCTTTGGAGTTGCTATCTTTATTGCACGCCACCGCCGCACAAAGCTGGACTTCGTTGCACGCTGCCGCAATCCGTTGAATGCCAACGTGAATCGTCTCGCCCTCGCATCGCCCAACCCGTCGTTCTACCACGTGCGGTTCTGGCCAAGATCGCCCATCCCGTACCAAACTAGATCCGGATGTGGAACCATTGCCCTGCTCATGTACGCCTCCCCAGTGCTAGCTTCCTTGCGCGCGCCACAGCCCCCATGGGCACCCCCACCACTTGATGCCGCCACCTCTTTGGCGCCAACAAGAGTTGCTTGCCACCCACTCTTGGAACAATTTAGGAATCTATTTTCCTAAGAGTAAAAGAGTTTGATTTTATTTTCTTTTATTTATCGATTTTTGGCATGTTTAGGAATTTATCAATTTTATTCTTTTTTTAATTTTGTTATTTTCCTTGTAAAGGCGATCGGCCTTAGCCTATAAATAGACGTGTACCCTTCGTGTTTTAGACATCTTTTGAAGCTTGATTGAATAAAACTAGAGAGATTTTTCTCACCCCTTGTCGTGTGCAAACCCTCCCCCCTGGTTGGTCACCAAACTCGTGCAGTGTTTCCAGCTTTGAGCATAGTGAGTATTCTGTCTGCTCGAGGTAACCGACTGCAAAGGTGATTAGTGTAACTCTAAACCTTTCGAGTTGTAACCATCTATACGATTGGATTCAAGTGGCTTGTGGCTCGGGTAGTCCAATACACTTGGGTTGTTGCGTATCAAAACCCATTTACCTTCCTTTCTCGAACTTTATCCTAACAAACCGATGTTCGACATAAATTGTGTCATCTTATACTGGAATGATAACTGTTATTATACACGAATTCCATAAGAGACGAATAAGTATCCTGACTACCTTTGAACCGCAAAACATAAGCTTGTAACATATTCTCAGAGTTCGAATAACTCTCTCTGACTGTCCAGTTGTCAAAGGATGAAATGTTGTACTAAAATATAATTTAGTACCCAATACTCTGTTGTAGGTTAGGCTCGAACTTAGAAACAAATTTAGTGTTCCTGTCTGAAACAATAGGCATTGGAGTTTCATTCAACTTAATATTCCATTGAAATATATATTAGCTAACTTATGAAGAGAATATGTGATCTTTATAGCAAAAATAAATCAAGCCGTCTTTGTTAACCTATCAACTATCACTCAAGTATCATCAAGACCACCTTGAGTACGGAGAAGTCCAAATAGAAAATCTATAATATCATGCTCTCATTTCCATTATGGAACCAAGAGTGAAGCTAGAAGTTTTATAACTTTCTAACATCCTGACTTCACTTGTTGACAAGTCAAATATCTAAACACATATTCTGCTATTTCCTTCTTCATACTTGGCCACCAGTAACATTCTTTCAATGCTCGACTCATCTTTGTGCTTTCCTGGGTGCATGACATAAATCAAACCATAAGCTTCCTCCAACATCTCATTAAAATTCAAATTATCAGGTACACAACTAAACTCCAGCATTTCTTACTGAATAATATGTTCGTCAGCTACCATGTTACTATCTTATTCAATATTGAATCATCAAGTTGAGCTTCTATAATTCTATCAGTCAACATAGGGCAAACCTAAATGTGAGCTAATAAAACACTCCGAAAATGATCAACACTCTTTGCACTGAAATTTTTAACCCACCAAGGAGAAACTAACTACATCAGGCAAGCTTTTGAACAACCTAGCTTCCCGCTTAAAGCATGAACTACAACCTTAGCTTTTCGGTATACTACTCAATAGCACGATTATAATCCTTAACAACTCAAGCCACCTTCTATTTCACCAATTTCAACTTTCATATTCAAGGATGAACTTGAGATTTTGATGATCTCTATATATATTGTCCTTTTTGCCAAACCTATAATGCCGCCAAACTTTTAACGCCCTTACTACCGCAGTTAACTTTAAATCATGCCTTGGAACTTATACTCATGCTTTCCCCACTGCCTCGACCATAAGCTATCACTTTTTTGTTCTACCTCATAGTACACCCAAGACCTTTATGAGAAGCATCTCTATAAACATCAAACTATACTTCAGGTGTTGAAAGTGATAGTATATGGGCATATATTACTCTTTTCTTTAACTCTTGGAACTCCACACATTTCTATCTTTACGAATTTTGAATTCTTTTTAGCCAAATTCGCTAGAGGAAGTACTATCTTTGAAAATTTTTCAACAAATTGGCGATAATATCATGCTAAACCAAAGAAACTACGAACCTTTGTAACTGTAGTAGGATGTTTTCATCTTACTACCGTCTTAATTTCCCGTAGATCAACATATTTATATACCTTTCCGAGATGCTACATGACCCAAAACTTCACATAATCAAGCCAAAATTCACACTTACTCAATTTGGCATGCAACTTCCTTTCACATAACATCTGCAACATAATTTTAAGATATTTTACATACTCACCCTAGTTGCCATAAAATACTATTATATCATAAACAAACAATTACAAATTGATCCCAGTATGGATGAAATATTATGTTCATAAGCGATTAGTAGATACCGTTGGTGTGTTCATTCAGCCTAACTAACATAACAAAAAACTCATAATACCCACGATGTGTTCTAAACACAGTTTTCGACACACTTGCTCCTCTTACGTCAAGCTTGTGATTTCAATTTTGAGAATAGTGAGACACCTTTAAGATGTTCAAACAAATCACCTGTACAAGAAAATAAATATCTATTTTGTATCATTACATTATTCAACTGTCTATAATCGATACACAACCTCAGAGCATCATCTTTCTTTTTCTCAAATAACACCTGTGTGCCCCACGATGTCACACCAAGTCTGATGTAACCTTAATTAAGTAACTCTTGAAATTTCCTCCTCAATTCTCTTAAATCTGATGGAGACGGTAAGACTGTTCTTACTTAATTTCTATTTGACATCATTGTTTATTTTCAGGCAACTGATCTTACTAACTTCTTCTTTTCCCTTATGCTTTACGTATAGTAGTACTTTCAGTTTCAAATTCTTAAAACATGTGCATTCTGCCACATCGATGCATGACTTTCTATAATGTAATGCATATCACACATTCTTTAAATGAATTGTAATGCATGTACTTCTCATCTAATGCAGGATCTTAATGCTTTGATACCAAACTGATACGACCCGTCCCAACATACCTACTAGTTCAAGAATGGGTCGCACCGACCATGGACCCCACTAGGTGTGGAGTCTATAGTCGAATTTCTTCTATACTTTTAAACTAACTTTTACATTACATCTATTCTTACATCCTTTCTAAATACACTACTTAAGATGTACCTACAAATGATATACAGTTTCTCAACAACTCTGGGTGGCAGAAGTTGGTCCACTATCTCTTGAAACTCAAGTACAACCTGGGCAAAGACTAAAGGATAAAGATTGAACTAAGAATGTTCGATGAGTGGTAAGTTAATACGAAAATAATCTTGCAAGGCTATTTTCCATAAAACATTATAAAGCTTAAGTAATAAATTTCTTCATTCAAACTTCATAAAAGTACTTGAGCAACTAAAAAGTCAATAAACTTCTCATAAGAAACTTATAACAACACACTTTCTAAATAAATTTGCAAAACATTATCTTGAAACATAAAAATACTAGGAAAAACACTTGCTAATATCACTTTCTAAATACATGTAAAATATCATCTTTCAAACATAAAACGAACTATGAAAAACT